TAGAAAAAAAAAAAAAAAAAAAAAAAATAATTTTCTATAAAAAAAAACACAGAAAAAAATTTATGAAGTTAAAAAAAAAAAAAAAAAAAAAAAAAAAAAAAAAAAAAAAAAAAACCCCTTATAAATAACATTCATAGAAATAACATACCTAGGTGGTGTAAATATATAAAATAAACACTAATAATTGATTGAATCCTTATATTACGGTAGTTATGGTTGGCCGTCGACTCCAATGCGGTCATCCGTCCGAAGGAACGATATATAATATGTATGTATATTATGTATAATATAAATCATTAAAGGTACATATACAGTGTTTAAATAAGGACATGATGGAACATCGTAGGCTACCCTGTAGCTTTTCAACGAATGAAGTCTATAAAATTCATTGTGTAATAAAATTCTTCCGACGGGATTCAAACCTGCGACCTCTCGCTGACAAGGCGAGCGTCATAACCACTAGACCACGAAGGCTTCATGGTTGAACAGGTCCAAATAACCGTCGGGAACGTTGTATTACATAATGCTACGCCTCAAGAAGGCGTTCGCCCAGATAAATCTGACAATACGGCTAGAAATACTGTCGTATATTATATATGATATTGAATGGAGTTAGCCGTTAACACCGTTAACATCGAGCCAACTCGATGGAGTTTAATGTCATACGGTACCCAGGGAAGAGCACAGATCTGTTTTGAAAGGTGGAGGGCACTCACATCAGCCCCACCATGGTTGGAGCTGAGGTGAGAAAATTTGAGGAAATAGTACCTCTAAATGGCCAGAAATGACACTTTTAGTAAAATTCATCATCACATCACCATTAGTCAAAGTGAAGCGCCAACAAAAATTCCCATGATCTTTTATCAGGGATTTTTGACAACCATAGAGATCTTATTAATGTGTGTGTGATATACTATAGAAAACAAAGCTTAAAAACATTGTCTTTGAGTATGTACTTTACATAGGCCTACTTTCACAACCACCTCAGCCCCACCATGGCTGGGGCTGAGTGGGGCTGAGGTGTGAATTTGGATTTGACCTACGACCGGTCATACTTCCCCGACGAAAGCAAAGTGGGCGTGGTCGAGCTTCGACTAAAAGATTCCCAAAGTGGTCCTGGGGGCGAAGCCCCCAAAAATTTCGACAATTTAGGGGTTTCAAAGACTTATTTTATCGATTTTAGAGTCTACTAATATGTAAAAAATACATATAATATTTTTTCTCCCCGACGAATTGTGAATTTTCTCCCCGACGGAGGGGCCAGCTCTCCCCGACGGGGTGCCTTGGCCCCCGCCACCCCTGAACTGTGGTCACTAAATAAATCGTTCGAAAATAAGATAGATTGTTTCCAACGAAGCTTACTAGACGAGTTTTAAATATTCATTGGCCATTTAAAAGAACGAACATTGAACTACATAAAAGAGCCTGTCACGAGAAATGGTCCACAAAATTTATGAAAAGACGCATGAAATAGATAGGGCATCTACTACGATTACTAGACGATACACCTGCCAAACGAACTTTCATGAATACCACCGAAAGGCAAAACGTCACAGAGGAAGACCAAAAACCACATGGATACAAACAATAAATATATATTAAGGACTTAATTACACAGTAACACTGCTATAACACGAATAATCAGAATAAATAAAAAAAAGTGAGGGAAGAGATGGAATCTGATAATAGAGGGTGTAAACGCTAAGTCTACTAATAACCAGTCGGCCAAAACAAACCGGGTTTTGGCCGACTGGGATTACATTTTTCCGGTGAACTGGATTCGGCAAACTTGGTTTTGGCAAAGTGGCCTAAATTCAGCAAACTGGATTTTAGGCCCCAGAAAGATTTGAGTAGAAAAAAAATAATGTCAAGTATAATTTACAACTACAAAGACGGCCTATGCCGTAAAGAGAAAGCATGACTCACTCTGATATTCCTGTGGGTATGGAAGTTTTCGAAGTATTTAAACTTAAGTTATAGTTGATGGTTGTCTTTGGTTTGTTGGTAGTCTTCAACTGGCGTTCCCTTCCGACATGCGTTCCAGCTAAAATGAGCTTTGGTTGCAGCCTGCACAACATGATAAGTTGGCTCCGTCTCAAATTTTCTGGTGCCTGATTTGCTGCTCATAATAACTCCGCCCACAGGCACTACATCATTCTATTCGTCGGCCCAGGGACGCCTCACGGCCGGTGTGACCAGTGATGCAAATCAAATTATTCCGAGACTGATGGGAAATTATGTTAAATTATGCCAAATGTTAAATTTCGAATAAACGCCCCCTCCTTCTTTCAAAAATGCAAACTAAACCATTAATACTATTTTTTTCTTCAGTGAGAATTTAATTAATTGTATACATATAAAGTATAAAATAAAAATGAGTAGTTGCATATAAGTCTTCTTTTTCCCATGAATCAATAAACCCCAAAGAGAAGGGGTATTTTTATTCCTAGATGGCGGGAAATGAGTTTTTCCGACTTTTGAGGTGTCTATTTATGACTTTTAAGTTCTTCGCAATTAATGATTTTCCCCTCTTAAAAATGATTCCAGGAATCAAGAAAAACAAAGAGAAAGGGGGATTCTACCCGGGAAAATGTTGATTTTTAAATGGCGGGAAATGATCTTTCCCGACTTCTA